GGCAGGGCAGCCTTTCCTGCTGCAGCAGTGCCCCCTGCTGGGCAGGAGCTGTTCCTGCAGCCTCGCGGGGGCCAGGCGCGCCACCACACTCCCGCGGGAAGGGGCCTGGGGTCTCTTTATTCCCGTTCTCTGCTCCAGGGTCCCACCCGACCCCCGACGGGCACGCCTCCATTTGGTGATGAACACAAAGAATCATCTACAAGAAATGCATTCCATTCTCTATTGCTGGGGTTAATGATGTAGGTCGCTTTGGAAAATGATTTTTAACCTTTTGGCATGACAAGGAGTCTTTTCAGAAAGGTAGTTCTGAAAGTTCTCTAGCAACACCCCCGGGGCACAATTAAGAAGGGGCCCCCTTAGAGCCCACAGGAATGCTTGCACCAGACTTAACAAATTCAATCCCCGAACCTGGGGTTGCACTGAGTTGGCATCTGGCCCGCTCACCCTCTGGCCCGCCCAGCTCTTCGAAGAAGAATCAGGCCTTATTTTTCTTGGTGTCCTCAGCCCTCCCAGGATGCTTGATTTCCCAGCAAGCATTGATTGAATTACTGTATTCGTCTTTCTGTCTCCCATTGCACATACAGCGCCTAGTTTTTTCCTGGCCGTTCACTCGCCCGGCCTGACGGTCATCGACTCAACAGCCGAGCCTGCCTGGCACGGTGTTACCTGACGATTACAGCCGCGGTGCATAGGGACCGACAGAGCCCGTGCCTGCCTGGAGGTGGGCGAGGCAGACAGCAGAGTGACACGGCGCTGTGAAGGGACCGCATCGGGTATCTTTCAGGATCAAGGTGAAGCTGGAGGGGTGTGAGCAAGGGGAGGCCCAAGTCAAAGTCACTGAAGGGTGGGAGCCAGATGCCGCAGGGTGTGACAGGCCATAGAACAGAATTCAGGTCTTATTCTAATGTCACGAGAAGCCAAGGATGGTTTTAGGCAAAGCCCAATATATCCTATGGCTTTTAAAGATACCTCTGGGGGCGCCTGGGTGGCTCAGTCGTTAGGCGTCTGCCTTCGGCTCAGGTCATGGTCCCAGGGTCCTGGGATCGAGCCCCGCATCGGGCTCCCTGCACCGTGGGAAGCCTGCTTCTCCCTCTCCCGCTCCCCCTGCTTGTGTTCCCTCTCTGTCTCTCTCCGTCAAATAAATAAATAAA